TGCTCCAACCACAACCACAGCTGCTCCAACCACAACCACAGCTGATCCAACCACAACCACAGCGGCTGCAACTACCACCACTGCAGCTCCAACTACAACCACAGCGGCTCCAACCACAACCACAGTAGCTCCAACAACAACCACAGCAGCTCCAACAACAACCACAGCAGCTCCAACAACATCAACCACAGCAGCTCCATCAAAAACTACTGCTGTTCCAATGACGACAGCAGTTGGCCAAGTGACAACTACACAACCTACAAGTATGTTACAAATAGATACAATTTAATAGCACATGCTCTCTCATTAGAATAACTGTGCAATAATTTGCCAAATTGTGCATTTGTTCTTTTCTTAATTATCAAGGTGCGTGTGCTTCAAACCCATGTCTCAGTGGAAGCACATGTCAAGATCGTGGTAACGGGTCTCACTTGTGCTTGTGTCTTCCGGGAGATGTTTATCAACAAGGCTGTCAAAAGGGTAAGTGTCTGAATGTAAAATGCATTGCTTCTCATAATGTATACATTTGAGGCAATGTGTTGCTTCTCATGAAGCAATAAATTTTTTCACAGTGTCACCATAAATACCTATTGTACTTCCAAACTTAATTCAATGAAGAGACTAATCTAAAATCAAACTAGATAGTCTTGATATAATGCAGTTGATGGGGGGCTCTATTCATGAAACTTGTATATTTTTTGTGCATCTTCAGTTTCAGTTTCTTCACTCACACAATTTAATAAATTCCACGGTGAACTTACAACATACTGTTTTACCAGATAATACAGATCAGAGATCGACACAGATCATAACTACAAGATTAGCATGAGTGGATCAGGTCTCCAAAGAAGATATTTAAAGCTTATAGAGGAAGCCTATTAGCATAAAGTTTAAAGCAGAGTTAAACTTTAGAAGAGTGATCCCCGCACTTGCGAATCACTTACAGTGTATGGAACACGCAAATTTTTGACTTTTGAAAAATCCTGATCATTACAGTTGTCATAATGATGACATTTTTAAAATAAAATTGTGTAAAATGTATCACTATACCCAAGCAATAAAAAAAGTAATATTTTAAATGAAAAAGCCATAGTAAGAGAAACCAAACAGAAATAACATGCAGAGGGATGATCATTGCACGTTGCTCGCACTCTGTGCCTCTCTTTTCCTCCTCTCCTCACACTTGCTGCTGTTTGACAGGGATCAGAGAAGCTGTAACTGCACTTGGCAGTCCCTGAAAGTAATGAGATGAAATTTTGAAATTATTTTACTGTTGTAGACAAAGAAAAACATAACAAAGCATTGTTTTACCTGTGGTTTTTCTGCTTAGAACAAATGAAAACATGAAAAATTATAAATACAAAAGCAGCAAAGACATGGGATATGATCCCATATTCAACCTGTTACATGCGTCCTGCTTCCTTCTGCAGTCCCAGATGAGATCAAGTGATCCTCAAAATTATGACTATGAAACTCCAAATTAAAACTGACAACTGAAATCAATCTTAAAAAAATTATAAATGTCAAAATTATGACTTTTGTCTTTCCCATCTCAAAAAATGTACATTATTTTATTCCCCCCCAAGTAAGCTTTCTGAAGAAACTACTTTAATGTGCATCTTGTAGCCTATTGTTCCATGATTTAACAAAATTTGAAGCAGACCCACCACCAAATTCAGTGTTTTAGGTTTTGTGTGTATAAAAGTGACCCTCCAACCACAAATCTTTTTTAACCCTGGAGTACAGGGTTCTTTATTTGTTTTAAACACAACTCCGCTAAACTGGCAATTTGTGTAGTAGTTTGTCTTGGACTATGTTTAAATAAAGAGGTAATACTGTAATTCTTTCTTAAAGCATTTTTATTGTCCCTGAGTTACTGGGCAGTGGAATTACCAGATTAACAGAATGACTTAACTGGGTTTTTATATGTATTTATTTGATAAATGAGATGTAGTAGTAAACTCCCATTTGAACATTTTTATTTGTGTTTGTGGAATTTTTGGGGAACTTTCTAACAATAATTTTGTCTTTCCAAATAGCCAAGGTTTTCCGTGCTCTGGTGGCCTTGGTGGAAAAATATCATCCTGAAATGGCCGACAAAACATCACAAAAATTTAAAGAGATTGCAGACAAAATTATTAATGCGGTAAGCACTAATTTTTCTTTTCCTATATTGTATTTTGTTCCAAATGCCAGAATTATATGCTACTGTTCTCACCTGTGCTTTATTTATCAAAAGGCATTTTGTTCTATGTGCCCAAATACTGCCTAAGCAGAACACTGTTCACTAAAATACTATTTTTAATACACAGGTTGACAAAGAGTTCAAAAATAAACATGGATACATTTCAACAATAGTCCTGGAGCTCTGGTAAGTTTCAGTGTTAAATCTGTGTTTTTTGGACAGTAGTAAATGCCTACAGTATGACAAAGACTTACCGGTATTCTCCTCCATATTTTCTTTTCAGGGAAATACAATCAGTACAAAGGTCAAACACAGGCAACGTTGAAGCTTCAGTTGAAACCATCTATGAAGCAACGTCTGACATCACCCAAGAAATTGTAATAGAAACATTGAAAACAAATATCACCTGTGAAAACTGTCCACTGCCAGCAAACGTTACATGTGAGTCTAATTTAAATATGTACTTTTAAGGATTCTCGGGTCTAGTTTACCTTTCTCTTACACAGTACATTCATTACACTTATCTTTCAGAATATAGGTTATATTAATCAGAAAGCTGTGGTGTTAAGACTGGTTCCCATTTGTGTTGGCAGCTTGATTTCCTCTTTTTCTTCTATTATTTCTTCTTCTATTATAAGTTTTGTGTTTGGACTTTTATTATTATTATTATTATTATTATTATTATTATTATTATGATTAAGACGCACTTTGGCACCTCTTCACACACAAAACATACACATAATGTTGGTCATGATTCCTGTCAAGACTTTAAGTCTGAAAGAATCTCTGAAGAATTTAGATGTCAGTGATGTTCTTGATTTTAGTTGCTTATGTCATGAAATTTGCTGATCCCATCAAACTTCTTTTCTGTTCCTTTTAAAGTGAAAGACCTTTGTGGTTCCGATCCATGTGACAAAGCAACCTCAAATTGCAAACCTACAGAGGGCAGTTTCGAATGCACATGTTTAGATGGTTATATTAAAACAAACTACAGTGAAAGATTATGCATGGGTAAGTATATTTAACAATCAAGAGAGTTGAAATATTTCACTGTGCACTGATTATAGTGTAACTTTCTGTACTTTAGCATGTCCCTCTGGTTACAAAGCTGAGAACAACAAATGTAAACCGTAAGTGCATCGATCTGACTGTACGACTTTACGGTTTTCTGCAAGTACATCAGTTTCAAGTTAAGCAATTTCTTTTCTTTTTTTTCAGATGTGGCTTTGGTCGTTCTGGCATAAACTGCAAGGATGGTAAGTATACAGTAGTGAAAATCGAAGCATGTACATCAAGACGTTTATTGTTATGTTTGTAAGAGTTTTGGGGGGGGCTTGTATTTAGTATATTATTTTATATTGCAAAATATTATATTAACTTTGTTCTTGGAAACCAAGGACAAAGAGTTATACATTGATTATTCCATTGTCTGTTGAGCTGACAGCAGCAGAACATTTTTTAGGTGTGTCTGACTTTAGCAAAGCAGTGCTGGATGGTGCTATGATCCATATGAAAATCTGCTATTTCAGGATGTTTTTTAGACAAATACTTTAAAACTCAGAGGCAAAAGTCCTCATTGCAGTCACTGGTTCAAATGTTGGCCTTGGGCCATTTGCTGCTGTAACTGTCTGTAGCTGCATAGGAATTATAAAGTCCAACAGCACTACCAAAGTCTTTGCATAGAAAATGATCAAAGGAATGTTAACACAAAACAACACTGACTAAATAACTATTAAATTTTTTTATTTTAATTTAAAAAATTTTTTACCAAAGTAAAAGTTTTTGCTGTAAAGCCTACAGCAAAACTTTTAAATCCACTTTTTCAAAGTTTTAATGCAAAATGTTCTCTAAAATGTTATGTGATCCTGTTGTTTCAAGATCATAAAAAAGCTGAGACTAATTAGTGACTCTGTTTTTTCGTAGAGTCGAAGTTGATCCTTGTGATCGTCTCGCCTATTCTCGCATGCCTGCTAGTTCTCGCATTGATCGCTCTGCCACTGGTCGTAAGAACGTAAGTTAGAACCCTGTTCATTTATCACCTTCTTGACTTTTTATAATTACCTCTGTCTTATTTGTTTGTTTTTTCTAAAAATGCATTTACAAATTAATTACTGCTGCCTGTAGAAATCTATCTATAAACACAACACAGTAGGACAGACACAGTTTCAGTACTCTTCTGTTTTTCAGATTCAAGAGAAAAATGTCCAAGGGCAAAGAAAACAAAGAGAAAGATGTTTGGAAACCGTACACTATCCCTTCCTTAGGCAAGGCTCCACCATCCTGCAGCAGCAGTAGTAGCTTTTTCATCTATGTCAATGAGCCAGAAAACATCCTGACAAATTCTGGTGTCCCACGAATCCCACGCGCCAAACTCAGCAGAAGCTGGCCCGGCAAGATCAACACGGAGATTTCTCCGAGTAACAGCCAACAAAGCTCGACTCCTTCAAGGAGGAACTCTGTGAGTACACCTCTGCACAAGACATAGCAAAGACAAACATCTGTGAATTATTAACTCACAAATTCTCATCCCTTCTCATGTCCTGCAGCAATTCAGCAAAAACCAAAATGACATGTTTTTATTCTTCCCAGATTGGACCGGACAACATCCCCTACAGGAACGTCCTAACTATAAAAAACCCTTACACCCAGAATGAAGCCACAGACTACACCAGACTCTAATTAAGGAGAAGGAAGTTGGATCTCTTTAGGATTTCCTATAGCGGTATTTATCCAAGATACTGCATTACGTTGGAACTCCCTCAATGTAAAAGATGAAAACAAGAACATATCAACAGAGACGTGCAATTAATGTGATAGATATTGTATCCTGTGTTCCTTTACTACTTTTAGCTTGTATTATGTGAATTCTAGTCAGGTCTGTTAAAAACTGTCATAAACCAGTCTGGCTTTCGTCATCAAAATCATAAAGTTTGGTTTATAATTCCTGCATTTTAATCACCCAGCCTCTCAGTTCTGTGTGTTAAATGCACTATTTATTCTCTGTTTTTTTCTGACTGAGCAAATTTCTTGCCCAGAAATTTTTTTTTTTTGTTAATCTATGAATTTACTAGAGTTGTTTTCTGTAAGTATTTCAGGTTTACTTTGTGCCTCAGTTTTATGTTTATCTAAGTTTTTGAATGTAAGCTCAACTGGAGATTTCTTTAAATCTGTTAATGTGTTTCAGTAAAATCATCACAACTCCAATAGTTTGAGATATTTATCAATGTTTGCATATTTTTTCTTATTTTTCTTGGTCTAGTTACAAACCAGTTATACATAACATTTGATTGCTATGACTTTGGTGTATTATAGCTAGCTGCTAACGGCACACTGAATGAGTGCATGTGTGTATGGATAAATGAGATGAGAACAAAGATTCTGTTGTAAAGCACTTTAAGTAGTCTAGTTGGCTAAAATGGTGCAATATAAGTACAATATATTTAACTTTTCCTTTATCTAAATGTGTTAAACTTGTTATATTGTAATAACTTAATTTGACCATTAAAGGGCTCCAAACTTGAAGTTTTACATAAATTATGTATTTATCATCTCACAGAATAAAAATGAATGCCATTAAAGATTGTGGTAGTGTGATATTTATTCTTTAAATATTAAAAGAATAACCATATTTCAGAGCACATTAGTCGGTTTAGGGATCATCAACAAAATCCAATCGGTCGAAATATAAAGTCCACCAAAAGTCAATACCTTCCTGAGATTTTCATTGATCCCTTCTTTTATATTAATATTTGTATGTTAAAATCCTGAATTGTGTTGCTATGCTGGACTATTGAGATCCACTAATTTCTATTAATTTTAGTTCAGTTCTTTTGTTATGCTATGTTTTTATGGATACATAACTGATCATATTTTTATGTGGCTAAAGTTCCAGACTTGACTAATGAAAGCCTTTATTTCTATGACATCAAGTTGTATGCCCGGTTCCAGCCTCTTTGAGCTTTATTTCATTTCATTACCTCTTAAACATACCTGGAGTGTTGCCTTGATTCTTTCATGCATGTTTGAGGAATCCTTGAACCTCCCATGGCAACCATTCAGGGGTGCCTTGCTCACATAAAGCAGCATCCAGTTACTCAAGCTCCTCCTTGGACTTGCTGTCTCCAGCAGAGCTGCTGCCTGACAGAGGCGTTCCCACTCAGCTCCAGCAGAGTACCACCTGCAGCAATTAACAGACAAAAGAGAAAGTAGGAGCTTCTTAAGTTCAAGGCATCAAATTGCAAAGTCAGTTTTCTTTTAAGTTTTTTTATATGTAGCATTTTTACAACAACTGAAGGTAATATAGTTGGTTGGTTGTGCCATAAAATGGCAGCATGATTCTACCTCTGTACTTTACTCCAGCAATCACATGAAGCCTGTGTATCCCTCCTCCAACATAGACACAGCAGCTGATCAATCCAGATTGCTTATAATTAACATTATGTCAGCTCTCTGGCTTTGTTATTGCAGACCATGGCTGTGATGTATATAATGCGTCAGTTCCACACTGTGAAACTTACCAGAAACCGCCTGCACTGTAAACAACCATCATCCACTGCATTCCTAAAATTACAGGCAGACTGCAATTCTAAAACGGCGCAGAAAATCAACGTCATCTTTCACAACTTCTTCTTTTCGCTGATTAACCCGGTAGAAATTGTAGCTGCAAATCTGTAAACCAGATTTGAATGGAGCGGAATGAATAGCACAGGAAGGCAGGCCTGTAAACAATAAGTACACTGCACAGTGTCAATATGAATACTGAGCACTAGGGGGCGCTTCTTTAATGAAGACTGGAATTAGACTGCAGGTTTGTCTTTATTTCACCCCAACTGTTCATTACAATAATTATATATCAGCCCCGCCTCACCTGATCTTTATTTACATCAATTAAAACTGTTTTTACAAATTTAAAAAACCAAAAACAAACAAACTAAACTAAACATGCAAGACAACATGGCAGAATACATGTACATTTCAGTTGAACAGAGGCTTAAATGTTATAACTGTCATATTCAATTCACAGCATGAAAACTGCTTAAAATTTGTAAAAATTTAGTAATTTTTTTCATAAGATATTTGACTCAGAAACAATTATTTTATTTTCCTTTAGTTCTTGCATCATTATGCACAAAAGGTGAATTATTAGTATAAAAAGTGTACAGTTACTACCCAAGAGCACTTCCCTGTGGTACTCCAGAGATCAGTTCTTTCATCAGAATAACAACCATTGAAAAAAAAAAAAACTATTTTATGCTGAACAATTCTACACCCGGTGGATTATCTGTACAAGAAAACCCAAATGTAATAAGAGATTTACAGTCTTAACAATGAGATTAAAATTACCTTTTGAAAATACCAGTCTTAAAGTGATTAACGACATACTGTCTGAACCATCTCAATCAAAGGTTACATTAAATGCGTTCATTGCAGCAAGACCCCCTAATAATAAAACATTTGAAACTCAAAAGCCAGCAATCCAACCTTTATTGTTCCCGAATTAAAAATGCTGTCAAAAAGAAGATTAGCAGATCATGTCTGATTTCTGGCTTTTTGTTTAAAATATTTAACACAAGGCAACACAAATAGAAAAATTACTTTCCAAACTACTGCAATCATATTATAAATTATTTTACTTATATACAGCACAGATTGAAAGAAACAGAATATCTTCATATTTAATTATTTGGATACAATTTCGGCTCGTCTCATTCACCAAAAACTTAGTTAAACCTGAAGCTGAGACTCGAATTAAACCTGAAAAACAACTCTCGTAAATTCAAAAATGAACAAAACAAATATTTGAGCAAGAGCTCTTCTCTTAGCTTTTGTTCAGTGAAAATAAAAATAAAAAGGATTATGTATTTAAGTTCAATTAACATACAGAACTGAAAGATTGGGTGACTAAGATTGTAATTATAAACCAAACTTCATGAAAGGCAAACTGGTTGATGACAAGAGCAGAGTATAAGTCACTCAGTCGCAGCTAAAAGTATTAAGGAACACATGATACAACAATTTCTGCTACATTACATTGCACATCTTAGCCGAAACGCTTCTGTTTACATATTTTACATCAAAAGGGTTCGAATAAATTACAGTGTTTTGGGAAAAACACCACTATAGGAACCCCTGAAGTGATTCAGCTTCCCTCTTCCCTCTGGTCTCGGATCTGGGCGTAAGGTTTAGTGTCTCAGTTCTTCTTGAGCTAACTCCGGGAGAATGACACCAAGTCAACTTGGTTGTCATCAAATGGCTGCAGCAGAGAAGAAAAGACATCCGAATTTGTGAGTAAACAAAACACAAATGTTCATCTTCACGTCGTCTATACCCACTGAGTTCTGCTCGTTGTTCTGCTGAGTCATCTCCATGTTGTCCCAGTTGTTGATGGTGTTGGCCCGTGGGATTCGTGGGACCCCAGAATTTGTCAGGCTGCTTATTGGCTCTTTGAGCCAGGTGTAATAGCCATTGCTGTTGCTGGACAGTGGGTGTTTGGCAAGAGAAGGGATTTGGAACGGCCTCCTAATGTCTTCCTGTTTGGTCCTGAATAATTTGGTCTTCTTGAATCTGAGAAAAAGAATAAGTTATGCAACTGTGTCTCTCCTACTTTATTTTGCTTAAGGTTTGATTTCTATAACTTTCTCTAACTGATTTGTAAAACCACCCAACTTTAAATGGCCTTGCATATATTAAATAGTTTTCAGTCTAATACCAAAGTATGAATGCAGTTTTATAAAAAGGACAAAGGTGATTATAAAAGCAACTAAGGTGATAAATGAGCAGGATTCAAACTTACTTGTTTACTACCACTAGCAGAGCGATCGCCATGACGACCAGCAGGAATCCGAGGACAGAGGAAACAATCACGACGATAAACAACCGTTCTGACAAACAACCGAGAAGCAGTCAGTAAAAAAAGCTCGGACTCAGCCTTTTTATGACAGAATCACGTAGCATTTTGCAAAATTTAACATTTTGATTTAAAAGATTTTATCTTAACCTTAAAAACTCACTTGGAAAAAGAAAAAATATATATTTCTTTTTCAGTGAATGTTTTATGTGTTAATACTGACTTGATAACTTTTTAAAATAAGAAGTTTGTACTGTTGGTGGCCTTTGGGTGTCAAACTAACAGAAATAACTTCATTTGCACGTCTTTCGTTGTATCTTACAAATTTTGGGAAAGATTTTAAAACAATTTCACAAAAGAAACATGCTGAAATTATCTGAAAATTCCTCACAGTGGACATTTTTTGTTTGGAAAATATGACACACCAGCCAAGGGCAGCTCCGCAAAAGTCAGTTGAATTAGAAAAATTGTCTGGATGCCATAAAATTTGAAATTATGTTGCGTGCTATAGCTGGTTAGTGAGGACAAAAAGCTCCAGATTGAACCTAAATTACAGCACTACCTCATATTTTTTTTAATTAAAACGTTAGAAAGCAATTGCCTCAAAATTGCTTTTCTGTTGCGATCAGTGGAGAGCATATGAAGAATGAATTTGGTGTTTTGAGTGAGCTACAACTTCTTTGCAAACAATTCGATAATCTGACAGTCCATCTCAAAATTTTGACAATATACTAAGTCTTAGCTCTTGTCCACAGAAAAACTAAAAGCAAATATAAAATGTATCATCTTTATGTGCATGCTTTGATTTTCACTGCTGGATACTCACCATCCTGGCAATTCAAGCCAGTACGACCAAACTCACATCTGAAAAGAAGAAATTGCTTAACTTGAAACTGATGTACTTGCAGAAAACCGTAAAGTCGTACAGTCAGATCGATGCACTTACGGTTTACATTTGTTGTTCTCAGCTTTGTAACCAGAGGGACATGCTAAAGTACAGAAAGTTACACTATAATCAGTGCACAATGAAATATTTCAACTCTCTTGATTGTTAAATATACTTACCCATGCATAATCTTTCACTGTAGTTTGTTTTAATATAACCATCTAAACATGTGCATTCGAAACTGCCCACTGTAGGTTTGCACTTTGAGGTTGCTTTGTCACATGGATCGGAACCACAAAGGTCTTTCACTTTAAAAGGAACAGAAAAGAAGTTTGATGGGATCAGCAAATTTCATGACATAAGCAACTAAAATCAAGAACATCACTGACATCTAAATTCCTCAGAGATTCTTTCAGACTTAAAGTCTTGACAGGAATTGTGACATTTGATACCACCATCTTTTGCTCACGAAGAGGTGGCATTCTTGCTTAAAATGTCAAAAATAAGTGTAGTTAAAAAAAATTTAGACAAAATTAAACAATAGTAGAAGAGGAAGAAATCAAGCTGCCAAGCGTATTAAATTATTGTGTTTGTGAAGTAGTTGAATTACTTGTAGGCCTTATAGTTGTTGTTTGGCCTCCTGCTACTGTAGTTGTCATTGGAGCTGCTGGAGTTATTGAAGCTGCTGTAGTTGTTGGAGCTGCTGTAGTTGTAGTTGTTGTATTTGTTGTTGGAGTTGCTGTAGTTGTTGGAGTTGTATTTGTTGTTGGAGCTGCTGTAGTTATTGGAGTTGCTGTAGTTGTAGTTGTTGGAGTTGTTGTATTTGTTGTTGGAGTTGCTGTAGTTGTTGGAGTTGCTGTAGTTGTTGTTGGAGCTGCTGTAGTTGTTGGAGTTGCTGTAGTTGTTGTTGGAGCTGCTGTAGTTGTTGGAGTTGCTGTAGTTGTTGTTGGAGCTGCTGT